TTGATGGTTTTTTTTGAGAATCTTATTCATTAAGTCTAGTTTACTCATATCAAATTTGAACTAACAGTTCAATCGGGAAGACATTCAAATGAATTCTTGAAGATAACTACACTTTTAACTGCACAGTTATCTTCAAGAATTCATTTGAATGCCTTCCCGATTGAAGTTTTAGTTCAAATTTGATATGAGTAAACTAGACTTAATGAATAAGATTCTCAAAAAATTTCATCAAAAAATTCTATCAGGAACCGCCCCAAATGGCGTCGGCCGGACAGAACATCCTAAATATGGCCTTATTTGACATTTTTTTTCAAGTTCGAGGCCCTATCTGACCCTTATCCCTAAAATTAAACGATTTAAACTCGTTAGAATACAGTAAAATTTGTGATAATGTAATCGATTAATATTAACAATAAAGAGTATATATAGAAGTTTGACTAAAGTATTTGTTTTTAGCCAAAAACAAAATCCGATCGGATCCGGAACCTCTGCCTTTCTTTGTAGCAAGGTAGGGTGCCCGGCTGATTAGAACCATGGGCGGAGTTAGGGGTGGGCCAACCCTTGGCCCACCCCAAGGGTTGGCCCACCCCAAATTTTAAAAACAACTTAATTTTTAAGGTAAAAAAATTCGTGTAATTTTTTTTCTAAAAAAATTCTTTGTACCGGCCGAGTGCCCTGGCTCCGCCCCTAGATTTAGAGCCGTCCAATAAAAAACCAACGGCCGCAAATATCAAAGGACCGCATCTCGAGGCACCTTGTTCTTCATCTGTCCGTTGCTACAAGGCACCTCTGCCTCACTGGGGCAAAGGATCTCAATCGGTTCCGATCAGGGCAAGACTGACATGAACAGAAGTATACACATGAAACTCATGTCAACCATCACAAATTGTGAAGATTAATGATGCAGTGCAATGCAAGTTCTAGAAATGTACTCTGAATAATAAGAAAGTAAGAATGTGTATCTATATATACCAATATAGAATAAGCAACAGATATTGTGACCATCCAAAGAATTACTCCGATAATTTCCACAGCTACAACAACCACATCCAGTGTAAAAGAACCTTCCATTTAAGCTTGAAATTCAAGGGATTAAAGAAGGGCACTAGTGAGCAAGTGATTAGTTTTGAGAATGCTCGATCAATCTCTTCTTTTGTTACTCCGTGGCCTAAAATAGTGTATATTTGTACGTAATTGTCTGTTTACACGAAGTCACGAACAATTGCTGCACGAGCTGCCTGCGTCCACATGCGACTAGGGACTGCACATTGCCTATGTGCATAAAGAATAACGTATAAATATATACCAAGTGTGTACAAATTTTGTACACAAATACAATTTTTCCTAATCATAAATCTTCCCTCCCAATAAAATACGTATATCCCACACAAGACAAATTTAGATGCACTAATGGTGGAAAAGTCACGCGCTTCTTTTTGTCAACCAAATTTGCTTTTTTTGGTCTTTTTTTTTGGTCAATTGGTCTTTTTGTTTTTGTTTTGGCAATCTTTCTTTAGTCTTGAATAATTATTACTCGGGTCTTTGCTATGTCCCTGATTACAATATAGAGCCCGTTTGATCACTTTGATGACCTCCTTTTCGACTTATCAAACTTATCAGCCAGCTTTTTCACCAAACGGCAAACGCGTAACTTTTAATTTCGCGCGCTAAATTTTGTAATAAGCAGAAAAGTAAGGTTGAAGTTACTTTTACGGATGTATTGGCTGAAGTTACTAAAGAAGATCATTTTAGCTATTTTTATATATATATATATTTTATTTAATTTATTAATAAAAAATATTTTAATTTTTTTCATGAATCAGCAGAATCAGCCAATACATCCACTTCAGCCAGAACTTCACAATTTTCAGTAGAATCAACCAATTGAGCCAATTTTAGTGTTACCAAACGGGCTCATAGACGACTCACTAGTGATTGGGACGCCGGCTAATTGGTGAGGTCACAGTCTCACAAATTATTTTAACAACCGACATATATAAGGTGAAAATTTTAATTGTTGATCTTTCAATTTTGTACCTAGGGTAATTTATAAATTTGTGCTAAAAAATAGGGGGAAAACACAAAAATATTGTAAACTTCGGAACGGTTCAATCGGACTGATTTTAATTTCGAACTAGAGTAGAAAATATTAATGTAGAATTCTTAATAGTTCAACACTCTGATCCATATATAAATGTTGGTCAGATGGCAATTCTGTCAAAAAAATTTAGTGTAGAATATATAGATCAGAACAAACTCGACCATACTAGAAGCAGTGGCGTATCCAGGATTTGCGGTGAGTGGGGGCGAGTTCATACTACTCCCTGCGTCCCATAAAATTCTTTTCAGTTATCTTTTGAGATATCTTTTGAGATGTCCCAAAAAAAACTTTTTTCATTTTCCTTTTTGAAAAATTTTGGCTGGCTAACATTCATTTAAATACTCAACCACAATCACACAATTGCATTTTATTCTCACTTTCTTTAACTTCGGTCCAAGTCAAATTGAGAACAAATTTATAAGACGAAGGGGAGTATATATTATTTCAAGCATGTCACAAGGAGCTAACACTTTAAGAAAAATAGGACAAAATTCTTTATAAATAAAAACTAATCGATTAGCTAAAAAATATGAAATCATGCTTAATAAATTTGACACAAAAAAAATTATTTGTTCGATTTTATGTTAATAAATAAATAATTTGAATAAGGGACACATATTGTATGTATTTAGAATTAATGTAAATTGTGAATGCAGAATTATATCTAAGAATTAATTTATATCTAAGATTATAACTAAAATGTATGTATATATTAAGTCACTTTAAATTTGATTAATACTTTAAAAAGAAAATAAGGAAGATAATGGATGGAAAATTAATGTTTGGAACCAAAAAATGGAGCACGGATTCGAAAATCCAACTTAACAGAGGGACACCAAACGCCCTCAGCTCCCTTTCCACGGTAAATTATACCGTACAACCGGCTGTAAGTTGATATTAAATACAACTTCCAGCCTGAATCGTAGTAGTTGCTCCCTGCTTTTTTTCCGTTTTCCATTGTTTCCGTAAGTTGTTTTCCGCCGTTTCAGACTTCAGGTCTCTCCCTTGTTTGCTTTGTGCCGCCGCCCCACTGCTATTTTTTGTTTTACTTACTTTTTTTTTTTGCTTTTTGTTTTGTTACGTACGTTTCGTGCTTTCTTTTAGGTTTTAGTTGCTGGTTTCTTTCGTATTCTTTCTTTTGTTTTCTTTACCTTTTTATTCAAAAACCATTGTTTTGATTTCTTGTTCAATTATCATGTAAATGTATAATATAAACAATCCAATGTTCAAGTTTTTTTTTCTTTTTTCGATTGACATTCTAACTTAAGTCTTTTAAATTTTTGCGTTATAAAATATTTTAGCTATTAATGTTTTATTTTTTTATTTCTTATTTTAAGATAAACATTTATTAGTTATTAAATATTTTGTGTTAATTACTAACATGAGTTTTGTGATATACTAAAATGAGAGTAGTGTAAAAGAAATATGCACAAATGAAGATTTCAACACATCAGAGAATTCAAATGAATTTTTGAAATTTTCGATGCTCATTTTGTAAGTTACTTATGTTCATCTCGTACTAGTTTATGTTTATTTCAAAATGTCATATTAATGCATATTTTAAAACTATAATATTAGATTCGCATAATAGTTAAATTATATACATGGGAAAAGAGGTCATGAAAATCAATTGCATGTTGCTGATACTCAATTGAGCAGATTTAATGTTCATTGAAAATGTCTTGATGCTCAGTTGACCAAACTTATGATTTCAATATCATTACTCATAACGTAAATGATGTATGCTCATTTGGTAATGGTTTTATGCTCATTTTAAAATGTTATGTCAATGCACTTCATGTCGGCTTCTGTGGCTCTCGCAACCATGCACTTCATCACAATGAGTTTTATGTTAAATTCAAATGAGTATAACTCCTAAAATGAATATGCAGACACAAATGAGCTTTTTGTTTTTTTCGATACTCATTTTGTAAGTTGTGAGTGCTCATTTGGTACCGATCTTCTACTCATTATATTTTTACACAAGACTTGATTATAGACACGGGAGCACAGATGTTAAAATATGAACAAAAAAAACTTATGATTTATATATCTATACTCATTTTATATGTTACATATGATCAATTGATACCGATGTTATGCTCATTTTTAAAATGCCATAACAATGCATTATTTCAAAAGTATCATATTACATTAGATTCGCATATTGAAATTCATATGAATTGATTATAAATATAATTTAATGAGATTTTATAAAAGAAAAAATAAGAAAAAGAAAGTCAATTACAATATATGAAGTTGATATCACAGTACTCATTATTTTACTCTTAATGCTCCGTAGAATACGTCTGATGTTCATTAAAAGTGTATCAATGCTCATCTAACGAAAACCGCGATTTTTACTGAAATTACGAAAATGCCACCGTTTTTTAGTTGTGATATCAGCATTCTTGTAATAACACAACACTCATTAATGGACGCTTAATATTCATTAAAATTGGACTATTGCTCATTAACAATACACAAATGCTCATTTAGCAGAAACCGCGATTTTTACATCAATTACAAAATTGCCACCGAATTATTTTTCTATTTTTCCATTGAGCCTGTAACTGGACCGGCTGTACGGTGCTCACCGTACAGCCGGTGGTACCATATACGAACTCCCCTTTCCACCACACTAGACTTGTCCATGGTAACAATTTGCATCATTCCTTTATATATTATGTACTAGTTTCCGCAACGCGCGGTGCGCGATGGAGATTGTGCCCAATGTGTTTTTATAACAGGGATAATGGCCGATGTGTAAGACGGGGTGCTTGGGATATATGCTAGGTGAAAATGATCATGTTTGTGTGGCAGTGTGTGTACAACATGCATTTCCTTTTGAAATAACATTGAAATAGAACCCCCAAATAGAATAATGAAAATTTCATGATTGCATTATTAGTGTGTAATTTATTAAAATGAGAAGAAATAGACATAATATTGTATCATGGAAACAAGTTTAGTAGTGTATCATGGGAAAATATGTTTATGGTTGCAGGAGCGATAACATTCAAAAATCAAAATGGAACATAGTACTGCAAAATATGAAAGTATTTGAATGTAATAACACAGTTTGGTGAGCCGTGGAATGGTTTGGATGGTTGTGTATTCTCTGTCACACTGTTTTGATGCGTTTCGTTGGAGGACTTGAAGTGCTTGTGCTTTCACTGGGTGCAGTGTGATCGGCAGCATTTGCTTCATCCATCTATATTATGTGCAACGAAGACTCGTGCAAAGATGTTATGATATAAGATGTCTTTGAAGTACGAGGATAGTTGTTTTTTGAACTCCAATTGTCTGGCGAAGACCTCAACTGGACTATGTACTCTTCCTTAGCAAGGCGCTTGTTTATGTATGGGAATGAAGCTTTTTTCCCCTACCAAATACAAAAGAATTTCAATGAGTGGTTTCATATAGAATTTAAATCTAGTAGAAAATTAGAATTTGACAAATGACAATGTGTATACTATTCATATTTCTACAGGACCCAAATTCCATAAGAGATTATGCTTCATTTGATGATTTTGTTAAAAAATCTATGGCATAGAGTTGGCGAATAAACCTTTGGGTGACATTTTTAATTAATTTTACAACGTAGTTAATGTTTTTTGCAATAGTAAACAAATGCAAAAAAACAAATTCAAAAAACAAATATATTTGGTTTCATTAAACGATAATTTAATTGGGCGGTATTATGGATGATGTTACCTGTGATTCTATTTCCATGACTTGCTTGCTTGTCATAAGCAATAACTTTTCAGCGCACAAGCCAAACATTATTCCACTGAAAGATCCTGTCTCATCTTCGATTGTGACATGTAATTTGGCCCTGCGCGAAGGTTATAATATGATGTTTTTGAGGAAAATGACGTATACTTATGTTGTATGGTGTAATACAAGTGGCGCACTTGCCTTGGAACGCCATAATTCGTGCCAAATCTCTGTCGTAGTTGTGTACGCCTAGAGATGTGAAGGAAAACGTGTTGTTGTAAGTGCGTACACATGACTTAAATTGGCGAGCAACGGAATCATTATCATAGAAGTATCGTTTCAAGATTGGAGGAATTTTGTTAGATACCAAAACAGTTTGACCAGCTGAGCAACAAAATCCCGATGGTTCATATTGAATGCGCACGGCCTCACAGTGGTGGCACGGTAGACATTGTTTAAGCAGAGAAGGTTCTGAGGGAAGTGACATGCTATATGTGGGAATCAAGGATTGTGTGACACTTCTATCACCAGGCAGATTCGCCACCCTACTGTTCGTTGACAAAATTTGCGCAGGTGCTGCCTGTGGTTTAGCTTAGTACATACATTTCAGGAAAGGAAAAGAAAAACGAATCAGGTTTTTGAAGGAATATGACAGTTCTATGAGTGAATATACGTTCAACGTCATACCAATGGGAAGACGCTGGTTGGATAAGGCTTTAGACGCATGATATGCGGCCCTACGTTTTTTATTAGCTTCGTCTAGCATTTTGCGCTTTTTTTCTGGGTCCATTGTTGCATAGGCAATTCTTCGCTGTGAGTTTATTTCTGCGCGTCGTTCTTCATTTGACGCATATCGCTCCCTTCTTTTTCGATTTTTTGCTGCTTCACTGGATTCAGGTGGGTCATTGTTGGGAAATTCCATCTTTATAGCGCAGTGATGTGTTTGCTATACATTAACAACCAAAAACTATATATTTACGACTTCAAGCACGCTTTAGACATGCCCATTGACATACACACAAATAGTGTACTAAAACAAAATGCATAAAGTATGTGTAAAATTTTCATATTGGTATTGTAGTTTGAGATCATTTTTTTCAAAATATTACCTCAATTTGCACACATTTCTATCCATAGGGTATTTAACCAATTTTAAATGAGGATAGGTTTTATGTACAACCAATAAGTTATATCATACGAACAATGCAAAAAATATGTATTAAGCCTAAAACAAAAACAAAAAAAAATGGCATGTTCCTATAATTCATGAGTGCAAATACAATCTAATCTGTAATCTTATCAAGTTTATATATAAGTATACATTTGGTATTCTCTGTAAGTTCTATGATGTGCGATATATCCAAGGGCAGTGGACTTATAATTCATGTGCCTGAGTTAATGTGATTATAGGGAGTGTTGGACGTATCAATATTCAAGGTATTAGTCTCTTAGATGAAATAAATGCCTGCAAAACTACCTAGTGCCATGGGTCACTAAAACCAGGAACAAAGGATTATGGTTGTGATATGGAGGCACTGTGGCATTTTAGATTTATAGTATAAGCCCTTGACATTTTTATGTAAGTTTGAGGCCCTATCTGATCCTTTTCCCTTTAACAAAACATGGTAAATGTCCCCCCAATCGACATTTACATCACCGATGGATGGTTTGCCTACCGGGTTGTTGAAAAGAATGGATTAAGTACAAATGGGGATGCAAAGTAGACCAATAAAATATAAGGGGCATCTAATTAATATTCAAAAGCACAACACTTAATTTTTTAGAAATTAGAACAAATAGATAGTCAATACTAATATCTAAACATTTAATAGTAATTTTTATTAAACTGTTATGAAAATTTTTTAAACATAGTAATGCATAGCTATAATGTAATAAACTATCATATACCACACGACAAACATTAGTTTATACTTTTTATACTAAATACTAATATTATCTAAACTTGAAAAACCATTTGCTTTAGCTTAGGGCAGATTGTTAAATTGTTACTTGTTAAACATTTCAAACTGTTTGATAAATTTAAAAATTTAAAATTAAAAGAAAAGAAAGAGGAAATGAAACCAAAATGTACGGAGTAATAACAATTCAAACTGTTTCCAACACAACTCTGAATAACAAATTAACAATGATATATCAATAATGCAATACTCCGTATATTCCAATAATCTAGCATGTATTCAAACACTCATTCCATGTAATAAAAAATAATTGCAAGCAATGGTAGAAAAATTTGAAGTTAAAATGACATACCTCTGAAAATGAACAATGCGTGCACAAGATTGCTTGCAAGCTCGTCAGCACTATAACGAACACAAAACAAAGAACATTAGGTAAGAAACCGATTTTTTGTAAAAATATATATATATATATATATATGACAGACCTACGTAAAAAAAAGCATGTGCTTTAGTCACTTTAGTTATAGTGACTAAAAAAGAATTTTGTTGTTGTAGTAGTGACTACAAAAGTATGCTCATAGTCACTTTAGTAATTTTGGTCCATGAGTATTATTTTAGTTATATTTTAGCAAAAACCTCATTTAAATTTAGCATGTTGAATTTAGTTAAACCTACAAAATTTTAAAATATAACTTAAGATTGTGCCTAATTCTCAAAAGTTGACTTTAATAATGATCAAGGGAGAAATATATCGAGTAGGATTAAAAAAATGGCTGTCATTTTTGTCCGGACATAAAAACTTTTTAGCTAGTGATAAAATCATAGCAACACAGTGACAAAAATATAAGTTCGGTGACATAAAAAACTCCCAGTCTATTTCAAAAAAAAAAAACTCCCAGTCCTTGGGTTGCGATTTCATTTCATTTACCGCAATCTAGAATCTTGTTCATCCTATTTCATTTACCGCAGTATTATTTAAGTTTTAGTCTCAGAGCATTGGGCTAAAAGAACATAGAAAAATTAAATGTCCCAAATTAAATGTCTCAGAGCCTATCACAACTGTATATGACATTACATTGATCAATTAAAACTGCAGCAGCCAAATGGTAACAGCCTAGGCCTAATTGCTATACAGAATGCTACATTGACCTAAAGAAAATCTAGGATATTATGATATCTGTGTTTTTCAGATCTCCCAGTTAAACAAAGGGCAAGCCATTTGTTAAAATGGCCAAAGTCAACAGTGCGCAATGATAGGTACCGATCCTTCAAATAGACTGTTGGTCTGATCAATTTGTTTGTTTAGATCGTCGTTAGTTCGAAATCGGTAACTACCAATATTTTACTTGTAGATGGTCCCAAATGGAATTGCTGAAATTAGATATTCAGCAATTGACAGTATCCCACGTATTGTGTATTATCAACTCCTATTGTATATTCAATGATTTGCTTAAATTAGATAAACTCTACTAATACCTTACCTAGATTATACTCCATATATTATACAAAATTTTCCAAATAAAACGATTGACAACCTCATTTTCACTAATATCAATTTATAAAAACTTGCAATTACATAAGAGTGATGTAAATCTAAACTACAGTCACATTAAAACTAACAAAACTTCTAGCAATTCCCTTAAACGAATTAAGGGAGTGTTTGCGGTTGCTTAAAAAAAGCGCTTTTCAGCTTTTGGCTTAAAAAAAGTTGAAAAGAGTGTTTTCAAATGACAGCTTCTGCTTAAATTAATCACTTAAAAGCTAAAAGCTGGAAGCAGGTAGAAGAGTGCTTTAAACTGCTTTTCACTTTTTCTATTACCCAAAAAGCACTTATTTTACCAAACACTACCAACTTTTACTTTTTCAGAATCACTTTTTTCTCAAACACTACCAACTTTTACTATTAATCACTTTTCCCAAAATCACTTTAAAAAATCACTTTTTTAAAGTTGAAGCAATTGCAAACACTCCCTAAGTATTAATTTTTTGTCAGCAAAAAATTGTATAAGTCAATCAATAGAATGGCTGAAGTTTAGCAATGATACTACTCCGTATAATATATTAATACTCTGTATGATTCTGTAAAGTTCGATTTTAAATGAAACTGGCATAATCTGTTTTTGAAGTCAGGGTTTCTTATACTCTAGCTAACCTTATTTTTGTTAGTCTTAGCTACCTCAGATCTTTCCTATATAATACTATAAGAAAATTTCATTGAGCCCTTCATTTCACTAAGCTATCAAAGACCTAATCCCTGCTAAGTTGTTTTTAAAACTTCAGACCTGCACCTATGTTTTAAAACCTGACGCCATTTTGTGTTATAACTTGATTCCAAAATTTTCACAAGAAGCTGAAAATTTTTCAATGTCCTACAAAACTGTAAACCTTTCAACCAAATCACAATTCATATCTATGGTTTCAAAATTCAGAATTTTGGATGCAAGATTCTGAATTAGTAGGGGTACAGAATTAGTAGAAGTTTCAAGTATATGATAATCCACGTATGTACAGATTCTGTATATATGCAAGATTCTCAAAATTCAAGTATGTACTTCTACTAACCTTCATTCAAGCCTATCACAACTATATATGACATTAGATTGAACAATTAAAACTGCAGCAGTCAAATGGTAACAGCCTAGGCCTAATTGCTATACAGAATGCTACATTTAGCTAAAGAAAATCAAGAATATTAGAAATTTGGTTTAAGTACAGACACGAACTGAATCGAAACATCGTGGAAAGGGCTTATCTTAGAAACATGGATTATTTTATTTATAAAATAAAGAAAAAATCATATCTAAAAATAGCTAAAATGGTCATCTACGATAACTTCAGCCAATACTGCCAAACAGTACTGAACTTCGACTCATTATTCCAGAAACTGCAATCCTCCCTTCTCGAGAAAACTCTAGATCGCCCACTACCCAAACATAAACTTCTCCAACCCATCCGTCCATCTTTGTCCAGGTTCCACCTTAGCAAAGAAGTATGGATCCGGTCCGGCTATGATTTCAACTGAAACCCGACCTACCCCTTAAAGCATTCATAGTAATGGTGTCAAATTTTTTGTCCATAAATGAGACATAAATCAAATAACTTATAGTTCCTTTCAGAACATTGATCAATCAATGTCACATTCTTATTTAAATTACGTCGCATATCTCACCCAAGAACTTTTATTTGCCTTTTGCTTTTGTTTTATTGTGTATAAACGGGTGTTGTTTTAGAATGGGTATCGAGTGTATGTTCCAAAAGTGAAACTTCACACCCACCACTATGAATGTTCTTGAGAGGAGGAACGTTTTAAAAAAAAAACTTCAAAATTAAGAAAAGAAAAACCTATACACCCCACGTTCATGGAAAAAAAGACAGAACTTTTATCTATCACAATTAGTAACAAGGAGCTGATATTAATTTACCGAGCAGAAGCAAAAGAAGACATAAGCTGCTCTGTCTGTTTCCCATTATTCACATATTCTTGTGAGACAAAACAAACTGTGTAAAATAGGGGAAAACAAGAACAAAGGAAGAAGGCGCACCTGGAGAAGTGTGAAGCTGCGGGAAAAATCTCCTGCCAACGGAACAACAAGGATTTATACGGCCAGGGGAGAGGAGTGAAGATGATCGAGTCCACTGGATTTCCATAACTTCCGCTGGAGAGGAGAAGAATGGATGTGCTGAAATTAAACAGGATAATAAATGCCAGAGTTATGATAAGGGGAAAAATTCACACACAAATGCAAAAGAAGACGAAAGGACTGAGCTGGATGCGGACCAAGAGGGAGTTTGAGCGTGCATCGGCGAAGCGAGATCCCAGCTGATTCCATCGAACAGATGGTCTTCTGCGGCCAAAGTGCGGACAGAGGAAGGGAATCCTGAATTCCTGGAACCGCTGGGCCTGTTGGGCTCGAGAGGAAGACAAATACGAAAAAGGGCTGGTCCTCAGAATACAAACTAACGGGCAATTAACGAGAGAGAAACGGAATGTTGGGGGCAAAGGCAATTGAAGATGAAAGTTTACAACTATTTAAGTATTATGTACACATCAACCAAGCTTGGAAGACCACCAACAAATTTTTTATACTCACAATACCCTAACCTTCATTCAAGCTTATTATATTGTAGAGATATTCTGCACAAACAAGTTTGTTAACTTAAATCACTCTTAATCGTTTACTTTATATATCAAAATTTTATCCAACTTAAATTTTCTTGATAAGACTTTGTAGCGGTTTTAATGAAGTTTCTTAATATGTAAATTTTATTTACTAAAAATAATCTGAGTATGAACATGGATTGAGTTGCTTTTTCGTCAGTCATACCTCGTAAACAGCAATGAGAACTTGGCTATGGGATGGAGGGAGTATGTATAATTGAATTTTTAAATATATATATGGGGGTTGGGTGCACACTACAAAAAATCATCCAAATTGCGACAAGAATTGCAACGGATAAAGTAAAAATATCCGTCTCTAAGGAAATCAGAGGCGCTTTAGGGACGGCTGCTATCCGTCGAAATACGTTCGCCGGAAACTGTAGGGGTGGATTGGAGCGACGGATATTTGAAATTGGAGTCGGCTTTTAGACGGTTATTTCCGTCTCAAATAGGGACGGCTCTTTCCGTCTCTAAACCCAAATTTAAAAAAAACATTTCTTTAAATCCACCGTAGCATTTCTTAAATAAATAGCTGCCCATTAATAAATTTCAGTTCTGCTCCATATACGACCCCATTCTGCTCCATATACACAAATAAAACCATGTCACCCACCAAAAGTCTCATTTCATACATGCACTACTATTTATCAATATAATACACTATCATCATACAAAAATTATAATCAAACCAGTTCTGCCCATTCATATTTCATAGCACCTCAAAAACATCAAAACGTTTCAGTACTGATTCGCAATGCACATTTGGAAACAACATACCAAACACATTGATAGCTAGCTAGATAGAATACTGCAAATGTACCAAAATAATCACCCATAATACTTAAACACAAAGTTTTGCAAAACAGTGTTACATGTACTTATAGTACTCCAAAAAATTGCAGAATAGAAAGTATTTTTTCTTCATAATCTTCTGCAGCATCTTCAGTGACTGCCATTCATGACCCCTCCACTAGTGAATAAATTGTTAATGAAATCTGCAGTTTCTTCTTGAGAGTTGTTATGATTCTGACTTGCACCGAAATGGAAAGCTTGAGTTGGAGGTTGCGTAGATGGTTGACCTTGCGTATGGAATCCCGGAAACATTGTGGGGTAATATGGTGCCTGCTGAGATGATGAGTTTTGCTGAAATCCAAGAGAGGGGCGGGGAAAAGCTGAGTTGTCTTGTTGAGAAAAACCTGGAGGCATTTGTTGTTGAAAACCTTGTTGAAAACCTGGAGTGGGCTGCCCATACCCAAACATTTGAGGTGGGAACATAGTTGCAGCCCCCATAGTGCTCCCATGCATTTGGAACATTTGTCTAAACTCTTTGATCTCAGCCCTTAATTTCTTAGCCTCCTCTTTTGTGATGCACTCATCGTCTCGTGTAGAGGGACTATGACTACGCTTGAAAGAACCCTTATTCAACAGATCCGGGGCGAGGAAGCCCATACCCATTAGACGGCCTCGATTGGGTTGCACGATTTGCAAATAGAGTTCATTTTTGTTTATGGTTGCCCCCTCCCCTTGAGTTAGTATAATCTGTTCGGCCTGAGTCTTGAGCTTTGCCTGAGAATATAGATGTAGAAAAAATCACACCACATTGTCACACAGTCACACTATAACAGAGATTTCATTCTATAAGTGTTACGAACTCTTAATTGTCTTATATTTAATAGTACTGCCAAAGCCAAAGTCACTAGACTGCCTATTTTTAGTTAGAATATAGATGTAGAAAAAAAATCACATCACATTGTTCGGCAGGCCACAGTATAGCAGAGATTTCAATCTATAAGTGTTACGAACTCTTAATTGTCTTATATTTAATAGTACTGCCAAAGCCAAAGTCACTAGACTGCCTATTTTTAGTTAGAACTTAGAACTAAAAATGACTCATATTCTGACTTTTCCATTGTCAATAGAACTACCTATTTTTAGCATTTCAAAACTTGTATTTTGTAGACTAAAAGCGTATATCTCCAAATCTAAGGAAAAATATTTGAAGTACAATGTGAAGAAAAATATTAGAAGTACAATGTGCAGGGCATATCTCCAAATCTAAGGAAAAATATAAGATATCATTCTAATAAGTACTACTGTTAAAGCATATGTACCGCAATCTCCTTCACTCGTGGTCCGCTCAACTGCCCTGTCTTCTTGTTTGTGTAGCTGTCGTGTAGAACTTCTTCAGCATCAGGCGTCCTCCCCAATTTCATTCTCTTATACAAGTGAACACACAAATTATAATTATAAATATTTTCACCAAAATTAAAGTTAAAAGAACAAAATAAATTGTGAAATAAATTGGTTGGACATTGTTCGTCCTCCAGTAACTTATAACGATTCTCGCCACAAAATGAACACTGTATTAATTCCTTATCCCCCTTCCAAAATAACATACAACCATTAGGACAAGCATCGATATTTATCACGGGAAGACCCAATTTGGAAACAAGTTTATTCGTCTCATAAAAATTACGCGGAACTGTGTGGTCACGAGGTAAGTAGCGTCCAAATAAATCCAACCATCGATTTATTTCTTCCTGAGGTACATTAAAATCCGACTTTATGCTCATTACCTCTGTGACAAATTGTAACGGTGACCCTTCTGGGCATCCTTCGTATAAAGGTTTATCCAATGCTTGCAAAACATTTTGAAATTGATTGGCCAAATATGGTACCTCGTTTACATCTACTGATTCATGATTATAATTCACACCTGATATTCCTGGAGTGGAGTTTGAGGTGTTTGGTGGCTGCACGTATCCTCCAAATATATCTCCCAGCATTCTTTCACCCCATGGCATTTCATCGTGACTTTCAGGAACCGAAGATATATGTACATCTTCACTTTCATGACTAGGAATCTGCGGTTCCACAAATTGTGGTGTTTGGAATTGTAATAATTCGCCGTGACAATTCCAAATATGATAATCTGCAACAAAACCATGTCGATATAGATGAAGTTTGACAGTTTCTATATCATCGAAACGTCGATTTTTGCATTTCCGACATGGACAACGAATTTCTTCTTCACTCATAAACTCATGTTGAACACTAGCAAATTCAACAAAGCTCTTTACCCCACTAATAAATACATCAGAAACATTTTTAGTGAATAGATCATATCTTTCATACATCCAGCTATATCTTTCATACATCCAGCTTCTATCTGTTCGGAACATTTTGAAGAAATTGCCAGTTTGATAGTTGTAATCTCGCACTCTAAATCTATACTAATGTACGAAAAAAAAAAGATACGAGTCTACGAAGTATAATAGATAAAAGATACGAAGTATAACAAATAGAAAATAGATAGTATAAAAGCTAAAGAGTACAATATAGTGACGGCTTAGGGACGAAAAAGAACCGGCGGAAAAGATAGGGACGGTTTAGGGACGGATTTGAGACGGTGCAAAAAAGCCCATATTTGTGACGGTTTACCGGCGGTTTAGAGACGGTCCGTCCGTAAATCCGTCACTGAATCAGTTGGTATTTTGAGGCGGCATTTTCCGTCCCTAATTTTCCGTCCCTGTTTGGGCGTTTTTTTGTAGTGGTGGGGGCAGCTGCCCCTGACCCCACCCTGGATACGCCACTGACTAGAAGAAACTTAAACATGACATAACAGGCTAAATTAAAACAAGACTCAAGAAATAATAAGATAAATACAATTCTTATCGGCTCTTTTCGATTGAAATTTGCTGGTCTGCTCTGATCTGGTCTGGTCTGTTTAAGTCGGGTCTGATCGGGTCTGAACTGGTCAGGTCTGATAAATGTCTAGCCTCTGTGTATTTTTTAACTAGCCTGATCTGGTATGGTCTGTTTAAATCTGATTTGATTGTTTAAATCTAGTCTAGTTTGATCTGGTCTGTTCTGATTTGGTTTGAGACTGAAAACAATCCAAAAAAAACATCCGCAAATCAAGCATGATCAAATCAAAGGTAAATAGATGACTCTAGTTCCAACTAACTATAACACCAGAAAAAAGACTTGTTCAAACCAAATAAAAAAAAATTGGTCTAAAAGATCAATCAATTCCCTTATTTAGGGGTTATACATCGTTACGGCGTTACCTATCTTTCTTTTTTACCTCTTTAATCATAATTTATTTCTTTTTCATGCAGAATGTAAAATAATTACTTTGCATGCAGAATGTAATGACATAAAATGTTACATTGTTAGGTTTGATTATTTAATGTAAACTGTATGACACTTTTTCTAAACATTTTGCACTGTACCATGTAAGGGGTATGGTGGTAAAATACTTTGTATGCTTTTTATGAAGCAATGCAACGACTTTGTGTGCAATTTAAAAATAAATTACACATCTAGCCAAACAATGTAATTTATTTTACATGCAAAATGATTACTTCCCTAAACTTTGCATGCAATCATTTCATATGCAAAGATTTAATGGGTTAACTACCAAACCAACCCTTTGCGTATTCAACGGGTAAAATCGATTGACTTCTATGAAAAACAACGCGTGAAGTGTTGTCACTAGCTATGTAGCACTGATACCGGTACGCGGAAACGCGGAAACGCGGAAACGGGTACGGGGATACGTCAAAACCAAAAAAAGTAGGATACGGATACGGGGCCATATTTATAAATATTAAAAGTTATGGGGGGTGTATTTACAAATATTAAAAGTTATAGGGGTCTATTTATAAATATTAAAAATAGATTTTTTTGAATATATATATATATATATATACATACATATAATATCCTATGATGTCTACCCATTCATTGCATTGAAACATTTTCCTTTTTCAAGATACTTAGTAATAAATTCATAATATTTCTCATATACACTAGTGTATCTCGAAATATAAATGTAGTCAATAAGTCATTAATTTAAAATGAGAAATAAGTCAAACAACTACAATCTTGAAATTAAAAGTGCAAATACCCAATTAGGAGTATGAGTTCATGACGAGTTTTTTACAAGAATATTACTAAAATCAAACATATTTACATAAATATGACTATTCATTACTACAACGTAGTGTTGTTGTAACTTAAGCTCAAAACGTGAACGTGAATTACTATGGTTTCATTACTACTCTAGTAGCTAATCATATCTTTGTAAATCATCTTTATTTTGATCATATTTATGTAATTATTTCATGACTTAATTCGGATATAGCCATATAGGCCCATTATTTGATTACCAAGTAAAATGTAGTTTTAGATTTTCATTTTTTTTAGAATTTTATTAAGTAAATTTTGGGATTTTTTTTTTTTTAAAGTTGATACGGGTATCCGTCAGGATACGAGTATCGGAAACTTTCAAAAAATTACAAAAAAAATGGAAACTTTTAAAAATTGCAGATACGGCCCGGGAACGTACGGTACGGGTATCCTAGAGTATCGGATACGGGAACGTATCGGATACGCCGATACGCTACCCTAGGGAAGTATCCGTGCTCCATAGGTCACTAGTGACCTACAATATTCTCTGTCATCAAATAGTTATAGTTCTTTTTTATACGGAGTATATTTTTTGGATTTAATAACTTTCATATTTTGTGTCCAATTAAATAAGAGTTTTTTATAAGAATATTACTAAAATAAAACTTATTTACATAAATATGACTATTCATTACTACAACGTAGTGTTGTAGTAACTTACGTTCAAAACATGAACATGAATTACTATGATTTCATTACTACTCTAGTAACCCTAGTCATATTTTTGTAACTCATCTTTATTTTGGTCATATTTATGTAATTATTTCATTAAATATACGGAGTATTACATTTGATGTCGGCGTTATTGCTCTACATTACTGCTAGGGGAGAGCACAGGTCGGGCGGTTTGAAAAACCCAAGACCCTTTCGGGTTTCGGGTGCAGGTCGGGTTTCGGGTTAAATCGGGTTACAAAATTAGCAAAAAAAAAGCAAAATACAAATACAATTTGAAGTTTGCAAACCAAAATGACAATGGCAAAATGGAAATCTTAACAAGTTAAAAGTTAAAACTAAAACCATACTGAGTTTAAGTCCAAAAAAGTGAACAAAATGAAATATTTAAATGTTTGGGAGTTGGCCTTGGCCAGTTGGGAACTTGGGACTACAATTCTCCAAACAGAGTTTACACATTACAATGTTTTAAAGTACAAACTTATAAACGTTACAACTTTACAAGCTGCCATTTAAAATTCCAAATAGGCAAAATCATAAGCTCCCACTTTACACTTGAGTAGTTGAGTACTTGACCACTTCCCATCTTGAATATGCCAAAACTTAACAAATTCATTACCTAGATACAACATAGAATACATAAACAAGTATCAAATTCACAAAGAATTGAAGTATACAATGAAAAAATACTTAGAAGAAACAGATTAAGTCTTTTTACAAAATCAGAAGATCCCAAATTACTATACAAGATAATGAGATGGCTCAGAATGCTTATTATCATTCATAAAGGATAGGGAGCATCTGCTACCATTTCAGTTCTCACCTATGAACTAAAAGAGCAATACCTACCCTAAACCCCTTAGATTCAGTAATGAGTGGAAGCTTCATCATTGCCATTTTACGAGATTACTTAATATACCATGTATATATATATATATATATATATATATTTGAAAAAAAATAAACAGTACATAGAAAGAAAAACAGAGAAAGAAAAAGGAAAATAAAAGAAATAAAATAAAACAATTCAAAGAAAGAAAAGACTAAAATTACACTCAAGGAAATTCTCTTGACTGAGACCTAGTAGTCATGCTGTGCCGCCTTTTATTCTTTTGAGCTTTCCTGTAGATTTTGAGCTTCATGTTATAAATTTTCCATTGACAGGCAATTTTCTGAAGTACCAAACTTTGATTTCCTGCAGATCGCTCTGTTAAATTTTGATTTCATAATTTCTCCTGGAGTTGAGATAGGGGGACGCCGATCGTTTTCATATATATATATATATATATACATATATATATATATATATATATAGAGAGAGAGAGAGAGAGAGAGAGAGAGAGAGAGAGAGGGCTGTTCCTGTACATATGGATGTACAGGAAGCTCCGTACGGACAAAGCCATCCGAGACACTTCCCGGTCGAATTTTTTGATGAAAATTTTTGAGAATGTTATTCATCAAGTCTAGTTTATTCATACCAAATTT